CGCAATCGCCATCGCCATCGCCATCGCCATCGCCATCGCCATCCTTTTCAACCTAATCATCACCAGCATCGTCATCATCATCAGCCCCACTATCCTCAGCACCACAAAACTCACATAACAGCACCATCATCACTCCCGAGCGGCCCTGCCCAGGACACCACGTCAACCGTGAAGGAGGAGAACCAAAGCCGCCAGAGCCTGACGTGCCGATGCTCGGGTTTTCAAAAAACTCCAAGGCCGCTGCCTGCTTGCAAAGGTATGCACAGCTTGTCAAGAAGACTTTGTGTGACGACATTTTGCAGCGACATCGCAGACCTGTCGAAACGTCTGAAATTGAAGCAAGCCACAGGAAGGGCAGCTGCAAGAACAGCAGAGACCTCGCAAGCCGGCTACGTCCGTTCAGACGTGCGTGTCGCCTTTGAGACCAGACCATGCCTCAAAGCGTCCAGGTACTTGCGCTCGACGCTCGAAAAGCTCGTGTTCCTCGCCCTCGCCTTACCACGTCGCTTGACTCTCCGTGCTTCATCGTGGGCATGGGCATGTCACTGCAGTGTTCTCGGCATGGGAAGCTGGAGGCTGGAGAGTCTTCAACTGCCGGGCTGCACATCTCCCCACAGCGAAGCCAGCCACTGCCTCGGAGCATCCCAAGATCCCCAAGAACCCTCAGCTGGCTTTCTGCGAATGTCGGCTGGCAACTTACAGGGTCAAGATCGTCTAATGATCTCCACTGGTTCACCAGGCACTACCAGGCACGAACAAGCGCTTCTCAGTTTTACGAAATTAGCAATGCTGGGAGGTGAGCTGCGTCTTCTCTAGGGCGGGCTTCCGTTGTGAAGGGATCCGCCAAGGAGCAGATTTTTGCAGACTGTTCCTCCATCTCGTCGTCCATGGAGTATGCCTGAGCTCTGGCAGGCATTGAGGCTGAAACTGCAGGCTCGCCTCTGTCCCGACATCCGTACCGGCTGAGCTATCGCAGACTCCAAAGAAACTGGCGATTTTTGCCCGACAAACCTTCTGCGAGTCATGGCTCAGCGCAGACGGCTTCATCGAGCTCCAGCTTCAATGATGAGAGGTGTGGGTGCAGCTGGTCTGCCTCAACACTTTAGATTCGAGATTCGAGGGGCTAAACACCTAGTGATGCGTTGAAGGCCCACTTGCGTCCAAGCGGACATTGGCATTTCTGCAGAAGGTTTGATGCATGGGTTGTCATGCCACGCTAGATCTATCAAGGACGCAGAATTTGCGGGTCTTGTTGCCTGTCAGCACAAATCCAACCAGACTCTGCCATCATCGCACTGACGGGTGACAGTTCTCACGCGTGGTGGTCAAGCCAAATTTTGTTGCTTGATCTGCCATCGTCTGCAGCATCAGGTGGCCTGAACAATCGCGACCGGCGGCTCCCGATCGTCAGTGAACCTGTGCTATTGCATTTCGCGCTGAAAATGCTCCGATGGCCCCACACACACTATGGATCTACTGAGATACTACCAGTAGCAACTAACAGCAAGCACAACACTAAAACATAACAACAACCACTGGAACGATCTCGCAGGAAAGCTCCATGGCACCAATACCCCATCCTGTGGAAACGCAGGATTGGTGCAGAGTTTCTGGAGTCAATACAAACAGTATTGCAAACATGGGGCGATGTGGAACAACCTATGACAGTGAATTGCAGATTGACCGACCTTATCTGGGCATACCGACCTTTCTAAGACCAATAGCACGTCATGCCCAAACCCTTCGCTGTCTGCGGATATCCCTGCGCATGCATGTTCCAGCACTCTGCAAGGCCTTGCTGAGCTTGACTTTCCTTTATGTACTTGCACTGAAAGCACTACAGCGCAGTGAATACCGCAGCAAAAACAACGCAGCACAAATCGCTGGACGCACTGTAGAACGCTGTCTACACGACCACTGTCACACAGAGTTGCCCTTTCAATTGCCATGCTTGGAGGAGCCACGCCGGGAGACTGTGGGATCTGAGGCTTCCAAATCCGTAAAGACACAGACAAAGCCAACAGCCCCAAAGCCTACACCGCAAATCTCCCAAACAAAGAGCCCACAACCTAAGCCCTGAGCCTGTGAGTATGCAAGGAGCTCCATCCGATAGCAACCAGCCCCTGCCGGGATGGCTCGCCCGGGCCGAACAGTCTGCGTCAGCAGCGAGGAGCAGGTCCTGGAATTGGTTCAGGCCAGCGGTGAGCGCATGCCTGAACTCCACATTCGAGCACGTGGCCTGTGCACGCAGCCATCATCGGACTCGGAGCCCTCGTCTTGAGAGTCCATGACGCACACCGGGAAACCGATGCTCCCTTCTTCAGGAGCTCCGTCTTCCAGGGGCCTCCGGTGAGGGAAGGCCCCTCGCAAGAATCTCAAGGGCCTATGTTGACCGCAAGACCTTTCCACTCTTAATTCGGTGTAGGGCTTGGGTGCCAGGGCCGCTACGCAAGTCAAGATTGCACTCAGCTTGGCAGGATCATAGTGTCCAAGGGAGTCCAAGGCACATCAGAGGAGCTGCCGGTGATGGCGACGACGCCTCTGCGGCCTGAAAAGAGATACCGCTTGCGGATCGCACCACTCGTGACAACAAAACCCCGTGCTTTCACCCGTCCCACTCTCCATGAGCGCTGGAAGCCAGAAGATCGTCGAAAGGCTCCGATCGAAGCGGCGAGAAAAGCTAAGCTATCGAAGCTAAACAAGCGTGTAGAGCCGACACGTTCCGGAAGGTCCCGCCCGGCCTGTTCTCCATTGTAGGGCGCCACCGCCGCATAGAGAATCTGCGAGAACATGACGAGCAAGAAAGCCACTAACCAGGTCAGGTACCTCAGCGTAGCGTAGCGCTTCGGACCGAACTCAGTCGAAGCAGCTCGCTCAATCTCTCCTGATCTCTCCTGGCCGACGGTCTATGTCGAAAGCTTGAGATGCTCATGCTCTGCCGGAAACCTCCAAAACTAGGGCTTCCAGCTGTTTTTCGAGTTTGTTAAGCTCGTGGAAGCAGGCTTCTATCGAGCTCAGAACCTGCTCTTAGACATAGTGGCACATTCAGTTTTAGTCTCTCTGAATCTCTCCGTGTGATGCTTCGGGCCTGCACTAATCACAGCAGATCATAGTAGATCATGCTATAGTATGGTCTATCATAATCATTTATAGTATGTTAAAGTGTGTTATTAATGAGAGTATATGTTACTTGCGGTCGTCGTTGTTCCTTCGTTTCCTTGTAGCAGACAAATGCAGGCTTCAACCCGAACCCATTTCCAATCTCAACCCTTTTGCAACTGGGACTCCTTGGCCCCCTTAGCTTCAAACCAGGAAGCAGCGCCAAGAGAGGCCGATAGTCCGGCCTTTGCGGCTGCCCACTCGTCGAAAAGCCATAAGCCGGAAAACCTCGGCAGCGCCGCATGGAAAGGCGACAACTCCAAGAACACAACGCTTTAAAAGCAGCACGAACTCACTATGCATATCCCCACGTGCATTGACGTCTTATACACAGGTGCATACCATGCCAGACCATCCCTTCCCATGCCATGCCATGCCGTTACGTTGCACTGCACAGCACTACGATGCGCTACAACAGCACAAGACTTTACACGACACTACAACACAATGCACTAAATTACACAAACCTACATTCAATACAACTTCGCGATGTATGCTGCACTACACGTTACATGGGATAGGCGACATAAATTACATCCTTTCTTGCATTGCAACGCACTGCAATACGTTACAATACTTCACAAAACAGAATATATATATATATAT